ATAGCAAGTTGAATTCCCTGTTTCATATGTTATTTACACTTGCACTAGCCATTAACAAGTGATGTTAAAAATACAATTTAGTTGCGGCCTGCTTCTGTGCCATATCACTAATGTGGTTAACTGTTAATTGTGGTTAATGTGTGTAACGCTCCTGAAGATTGATGTGCTGGCCAGTGAAGTCTGAAATAAACAAGCACATTTTTATAGCATGCGTTTAGATCAAATAAAAAAAATTTAAAACCGTATAAATGTTGATTAACATCACATAATTATCGCACATAAATTTCCCTGTTTTATAACATTTGCATTAACCGTTAACAAGTGATGTTAGAAATGCAATTTAATTAATTTAAACAAGAAATCATTTATTACAACTTACATTAGTGCCTTTTTGGTCAGCTGACCGCATTGTTACTGTTAATGAGGGGTGGCGCGGTCGCTAGAGTAGGTCCTGCTTGTAGCATCTTTGGTTCCAGGTGGCACATCTTTACTCGCACCTTTGTTATTTGTCGCAACTTGGCAACTCGCAGTTAATTAATATTATAGGTTTATAAAAAGTGGTTAAAATTGACATAGTACAAGAATAACTTACATCAGTTTTCACGAAGTTTAACCGTTTCTGTGTCTTTTCTTCTGTCTCCGACGCTTTCTTTGAATTCTGTTGGCGCTGAAATAAATGAATAAATAAAAGAAATAGATAGATAAATTAAATAATTAATTATCAAAAAATAAGATTAAACAAAATTAATGTGAGTAATGGTGGCCAATGTTAATTTTGAGACATGAAAAGCGAACTATTTTAATTTTGAGACATAAATGTGAGAAAAGTATGTGTAAAAACAAATAATGATAGAAAAATATAACCTACCGTTTTGGCGAAGGGGTTTTCTTCATTGTCCAAATCCTCATCAGTGTCATCGAAAGATGACCAGAATCACCAAGTTCTTTGAGTGGCGGACTTTTGACATCCACCACTCGAGCCTCAAAAATCTTCGTCCAATGGTCATAGACGAAACAAACAAATTCAGGCTTTGGTGTGACCATCACGTCTGCCCCCTCCTGTAATTTTACGGCATATGCAGACGCTTTGCATGTAAGCACAAGCCCTAATCTGAATTGCGCTTCTTTCTGGTATAACTGTTTGACGACATCACTTTTACAATGGTCCACTGCCATTGCCTCTGCCCAACTCATGTTGATGCAATACTTGATGCCATCTTTTGATTTAGTAAATTTTAAGAAATAGCTTGGTCAGCGTGATAACTTTACCAACGTCACACTGACAGAGCCCAAAATTGCTGTGTAGAGTGCCATTTTTATGCGCATAGTAAGACCAATCAACCAAGAGGAGGAGTGATTTAACAAATTCATTTTTACTTCTTTTTTACTAAATCTAGTTGTGACCCTTGTCACGTATTCTAATCGTACGGTCATCACGGGATACGCGTAATTTAAATTACGAAACATGTTTAAGGGATAGTATACTTATTTCTCATGATCAATTTATATTATTTTACTCAACGTGGTCATTTAAAAAGCCCATCAGAACATATCATTATTTTATGCCTTTCTTGAATAAACCCCTGAAATAATTGTTATACAAGCCAGAACTTTAGTCAGCTGAACGATTAAAGGTAGAAATGTACTAGTAAGACAATCGCCGTTTAACATAATACCACCAGTGCAACACGGACAACAGCATTCCAAACAAGGCCGGCCGGAGGGAAGAGAAAAATAGTCGGCAAAACGAGGAAGCATTTTAGAAACAACATTTTTAGCGATTAGTAATTATTAATAGGACCATGTCTAATTTCAAATACTAAGGTTCGTCGGAGGCCACTTCTCAAGATATCTTGCTGTTTATATATTATTTATTTATTTGCTTATTTTAATTAATTATTTGGATTAGTATATTTAGTTATGCTTTATATTGAAAAAAGAACAGCATTGCCTAGTGTGCAACAAAGCAACAAAAGGACATTGCCAAGCACTTTCTAGTAGAATGTTCATAGTTCAGTGCAACTATAGATACATTTTAATGATTGTTATGGAAATGCTTTGTATTGTATATAATGTAATGTAATGTATAGCTAATAGCATGCGAAGAGTATCATATCTTTAGATTAGCTTTTAAATGTTATTAAACATTTGCTAATGTTGTTATTACATTGTCTAATGACTTTAATTTCTTCATTTTCACACAATCACATTTGCTATCTATCGTCATCTGTTAGTATGTTTCTTGCAGTCTGCAAACATAAGAACAAGTACATTTAAATTATTACTCATATTGTTTACCATTCGTGTTTTATTTATCTATTATCTTTAAAAACAGGCTATATTTGTAGGATAAGATAACATAAAAATAATTAAACGTCTTCTTATTTTTTAAAAAAGAGAGAATTAATAAACAAGCCATTGTGTATATTACACGTGATTAAAATTATAAACTGTAAGAAAAACGTATCTGCCAATTTCTTTTAAATTTATACTTTGGTATGAATTACATATAGCAGGGCATTTACGTATTATAAGCACAAATTAACTTACATTTAATAACCCAAGCGACTCCGCATATGCTCCATTTATTATGTCACACTGTATGCCTGCTTTCTGAAATAATATTAATGATGATAACTATTCGATTTTTAATTAATATATTTATCAAAGTATCACTAGTGTTAAAAATATAGACACTGTCTTGTTACGTGACAATTAAAACTTCTGTCGATTTCAATTAAATCAATCCTTTGATATACCAATTAAATATAGCATGGCATTTACGTATGATAAGCATGCATAAATTAGCTTGAAAATAAAATAAAAATACAACTATTGTTTTAAAAATTTAGTTATGTCAACTTACATTAGTGTTTTTGGTGGCAGGCTTTACATTAAAGTTTGTTATCTCGGGTGACGGCTTCTGTTTCTTAGAAATACTACATGAGTCTGCCTTGAGCGCGTTGGTGCGTACTTCACTTTTGGCATTAAACACACTTGATTCTTGGTCCTAAAATAAACAGCAATTTTTATTACACACGCCTGTTAATGGAGTCAAAGAGTTTAAATGCGGCACAAATGTCAATTTTTGTAGATAATTATTTTGCATTTTAAATAAATAAAAGATAAATTAAAATTCAATCATTAATTAAACAATTTATTTATGTATACTTACATTAGTTGCCTCAGGGCAAGCACGCATTATTGGTATAGCTGGGGTGTGCTTTTTCTGGTTAAATCCACTGGGGTTGGCCTGTAGCACTTTGGTGTTTACGATCGGTGTTGCATCAAACGTGATTGACTTTGGATGCTAAAAAATAAACAAGCATTTATTATTACATGCGTGCCAATCAAGTCAAAAGTTATGAATGTCGCTTATATGATTTTGCATTTAGCCTTAAAAGAGGCATTATAAAATAATATGTGCCTCTATTGAATTGTAACAAAGCATATTAAATAACATCGTCATTTTAATCAGTTTTGATCGAATGATTGAATTATTGAGTGAGTAATAAATAACACATAATCGATTGATAAATTGAAATGCAACTATTAATTTAACTATTTGTTTATTTATTTATTAATGTAAACTTTAAGGCGAAGCCTCTTCAATATTATCGGTGGAGAGTGATTGTTTTTGCGTGTAGCATCACCTTTGTCTAAATTGTGTATGTTTGTGTGTACGTTAGACGTGTTTGTGCTTGTCCCTGTCTTCTTAATAAACAAACAAGTTTCTATTACACGCATATAGATGTATAGACTTAAAGATAAACTAGAATGGTATAGACTGCGTAATGCAACGTAAATTGGGGTTGATTAACTTGAATTTCGAAAGGTGCTTTGAAAATTCACTGACATGTCTAATTTCTATGATTTCTATGATGATGTTTAACCTGATTACTTTTTGGGTGATTTGGGACCAGATGACGGTAGGGTTTGTGAAGTTAATTCTGCGGGAAGTTTTATGTGGACGGGAAAATTGAGAATATGGTGACAGATCGACAGTCTTCACAGTACAGTGCCTGGTAATTGGTACCAGGATGTACTGCGAAGAGTATCGCAGTCTGTGTTTGTTCAGGGGTTGGGGTGCTGGTGGTGATAACCCGTTCACAAATGGTAGGGTGTGGGCACAGAGTGCACATTACGTTTACCTTCGTCCCTGGAGTTCAGAAAGGGATTGAAATGGTGGGGGTGCTATCCCACGCCCCATCGATGGGTATGGGGTTCGTGGCCTCCAGGGGCGAGTCTAGATCCTTCATTAGCTCTTCCAGTGGGTCGAATTGGGACTGTTGTGTTGATCCCAGCTCGAGCAGTTGCATGGCTGCTTCCTGACCCTATTGTCAGATCAGCCGAGCCCGTTGTTGCTGGCCACAGCTGGACCATGTCTATGGGTTTTTCTTGAGTTGTCTCTTGGTGAAGGAATTCCTCCAGGATAGGAGGATTAGCTGAGGCTGTGGCTGATTGAGTTGTCCCCTGGTGATGTGTTGTGAAGGCCTTCAGGATTGGAAGGTCGGCTGAGGCTGAGGGTGTCGGCCACAGCTGGGGCAACTCAATGGGTGATGCCTGACTCCTATCCTGGTTTTGCAGCTGGGCGAGTTCGTCCCAGACCTCTTCAGGCAAGGCTGCATTGAGTACTGTGCACTGTAAAAGAGAATAAACCATGTGAATGACTATTTAGGTTGATATATATGTTCGCTTGAAACGCAGCATGAAATGTGCCCTTCGGAATTATGTTGCAGATATCATAATTTGTCAGAACGCAGGTCCTTTATACTTGCTTATATTGTGACAAGACTATTGACTATTTTGATAACGGTTCCATCTAAATGGGTGGTAGGTAGGTGGACCACCAAAACTATTTTTATATACCAAGTAAGACTATTGACTTTTTGATAAGGTGATTATATAATGATTGATTACATTTATGTAAGGTTCCACAGTAATGTTGAATGTGGGTTGGACCACAAAAAGTGTGGGTTGTGTGGACTCTGAGAGGTATGTGGTCTCTTGTATAGCTAGGTTGCTGACTTCCTGTCCGCATTATTAGCAGTTACCACGACACATAACACTGTCTTCAAGCTCACGTCAAGAGCTGGATTAACAATCAATATGTCAGACACCCTATTTCCCTGAAGCATGAGTCCTCTATTATCCTCACACTCCTCTAGGAGGGATCATCTATTGTTCCATCTTCACGGACCCATGTTGCTTCTTCAGGACTTTCCCATAGCATCGTGTGAAGCTTTCCACCTGACTTGAAATGATTTTTAAGCCTGTGTCTATGGAGACCCCTCCCATTTGTAAACGTTTCATGACAAGTTCTGCATTTGTGTGATTTTACTAAAAATAAATAATTAAAATGTGTTATGACGAATGCACAACAAATACGCAATCATTCTTTTAATATTTTTCTATTATTTTTTAAATATTTGTATTATTACTGTTACCTTATTGTTACTTTACCTTATTGTTTCTTCTAGAAATTTTGCTTAGTGATTCTTTTGTCCTCTAAAACAATCAAATTCATATGTTAGGATTATTTTGAGATTGATTGACTTTACATTATCTGAGCCTTGCTTCACCCCTCTTCATATATATATCAGAGGATGATAATTACCACTTTTTCTATACGATGACATCTGCTTCAATTGTGATACATTGATTGTTATCGACGGCTTCCTCTGATTCAATTGTGATGGTTGGCTGTATTTGCACATCTACTGTATCACTGCTGCATGTAAATAAATATAGAAATAAATTCAGAGCTGCATATAAATAAATAAATACTTGATGAACTCCATATTTTCCGTAATTGATCAGGTTCTCCTGAATTGCATTTACTTTAATGATGTTTATTATATGCGACTTATTCTTGAAAAAATATTTTTAATCAATAGTTTACAAATATAATTTTCGGTTATTGCATACGATGAAGTGATGCTTGTTGTATACCATATGTTTTATGTGAAAACCCATGAAAACTCTTTTATACTCACTTTATACTGGAGTTGTCATTCATTATTGCCCTTGTCGCCTCCTCCACCTCTTTTGCTTGGGATACCTGAAGAGATGACGTTATATAACTGCTAGTTATGATACATAAGAACATTACAGTGTATCATATAAACTCATGAACAGGTATGATTTATTGCGAACAGATTAAGTATCATCGCTTTGGTGAGTAAATGTAAGTGAATGTAAAAAATCGACAAAAATATACATCATTTATGATCTGTATTGCACAGCTTGATAAAAATATAACACATGATATTACCGTGAGTTCCTGAGTCCTCATCGGATGTGGAAACCTCTTTTCGGCAGGAACTATTTAGTAGTTCCGATGGCTAGAGGTAGGAGCTGTAGAACAGTTGGGTGCTGCTCGCTTCAGTGGAGAAAATTCTGATACAGACGTCTGCGCTTTAAATTCTAAAATGAGATAAAATAATATTCAATGAATCATATCTAGTGATTATTTCACTTCTATAAAGATAAGTTAATCAAATATAATACAACTGCATGTAACAATATTTTATTCTTTTTTATATACTTAATAAAATGAAGAATATTTTTAAAAACAAGATCAAAAGCAACGTAAATTAATGCTATCGGATACCAAATGTATAGATGTTGACAGCCATCTCTGCTGTTGTAGCAGAGAATTCACCTGAATATGCTGGCACTCCAGCATGCGGGAAATATACCCGACTGGATCTTGCACCTAAGAAAGAAATTACTTGAATCAGTTACACAATCATAGTTTGTTTCACCGAATGCTGATGGTGTATAAATGTTTTATTTTATTATTATTTAATCACATGGAAGTGATAATGTATCATTTGATCATCCAGTATTTGATTATTCATTATGTACGCTTTCCAAAAATCAGAAAATGATTTATAGTCAACAAGATCATTTATTTATCCTTATGTGACTAGTATAGAAAATAAAAAGATAAAGCCAGAAACAAAAACTTGTTTAGTTTAAAACTAACCGCATCACTGTTGTCTGTTCCTGTGGGATTCTGTACTGTAGCGATAGATTCTGTGTCTCCCTAAAAATGGAATAATTAAGTTAAGAACTGTAAATAGTCATCACTTATTGCATTTGGGTTGGTTTACTACAAACACGCTAACTACATAGGTACACGTATAGATATCTTGAGTGTTATTGACTTTTTGGCTTATCTCTACTAATCCACTCAAGATAAGCCTTTAAGTCAACAAACCAATCCCCCGATAAGAGGCTTCTTAGCCTCCAAAGATCGACCCGATTTCTCTCCCCCACCACGCCCCTACCCAGGGTATGGTTAGGGGTTAAGTCTTCCCAACCTAACCTAACCCCCCTAAACATATATATTTTGAAAATGATCAACTGTTATACATTTAATGGTGGAATAATACAACAATTAATTAATTGGATAATTAATAAGAATTGGAAAGAAAAATGAACATTCTCTGAAGATGACGGAAATAAGCTGTGTAATGTATATGTGCATTTATACAAAATCATTTTGAAAATGATCAACTGTTATACAATTTATCACTGATTAATGCAACAATTGAATAATTAATTGGATAATTAATAATAATAATAGAAAATAATTGGTAAGAAAAATATTGGAATATCTGAAGATGACGACCATGAGTTCTGTAATATATGAAATATTAAATGTCCTTTATGCTATTCACGACATGCTCCAAAATCTCCAGTTTACGTATTTTCACCATGTCATGTTCAATGTATGTTTTTCTTTTCTCACCCTGTAAATATAAAAACAAAAACAATTTCGTTTAAATAAGTCATTTAATGATGTTAACGCAACAAAAACATATTTAGATTGGAACCATATTCCCAATTGTCCATTTTCTAATAAAACTTTGGGTGCGCCCATTTTACATGATTTCAAAACATAGTTATCCCTGTACAGGCGCGATGTGGGCGGTCCGCTACCGACAGCATTGGTGCCTAGCTGCTTGATGACGATTTCTTCTGTCGCATAAGGGTTTAACTTCTCTGCATTCTGAAACAATACAGTAGTACACGTATGTATGAATACATTACAATGGACTTAGTATACCACCTGGAATTATGATTAAAATTTGTTACCAGTGACTTAGTCGAATAAACCAATTAAGAAGTTATGCCATGGATAATAATCAAATCATTAAGTTCTGTTTCTCTGTTTTAATTGAAAAGTGTCCTAAAGAATATCGGTTAGTGTCCTAACTTACTAGTCTGTTGATGTTTGTCAGCTCTCGTGTTTCCAAAACACACAACTTTTGCTTAACTTCCTGGAAAATATAAACAATGTTTTAGAAACGTTATTTCACCAATGTTATTTCCTCAATAAGTTGATACACCTGTTAAAGTACAAATAAGTATATCATACTTGAGTGAGTTTGGCGTAGATATCACCCGGGAATGTATATATATCATATCCGAGGAGCGGGCAGGATATATTGTATATGTCCCGCTCCAGGTAAAATAAATGCGAGCAGAAATAAAAATTCAAAATATTTTACCTTCAGTTCCTCTGTACGCTGTTTCACTTCACGCATTGCTGATTCTTTCTCGTTTATCTCTTTCTGAATATATAAAAATTAATGTTTACTGAAAAATCATTTCTGATATTCCATGGATATTCTATTAAGTAATCTCGACTTTGTCAGTTTGTACCAGGACAATAATGCATTAACTTTTCAAGAGGCGCTAATATCTTATTTTATTGAATGATTTGTCATATTTTCCAAAAATAAGAGTTGCATTTATAAATATTATCACTTCATAATACCTGAATCCTAGCTTCCAATAATTTCATATTCTTTGCTGTTTCTTGAGCATTCGTTTCCCATCCTATTTGCGCTACCAACAATTTATCATGTTCAGCCTAATAAAATCGAAATCGCATTGTTATAAAATGTGTAACGTGGTGTAACATATCAAAAATATATTTTAGATTATTTCTAAAGATGATTCACTGAAATTTTATGACAACTTTAACACTTAACATTTTGCGCGTATTATATGTAAGGTGATTAAAACTCACCATACATTGGGTTAGGTCATCCGTGAGGCTTGTGTTTGTCTTCACAATTCTCTTATTCTTCTTATTCTAGTGGTTTGAACGAAAAAAAATGAATATTTAATATTTCATTAACCTAGAAAATGCATTGTACTGTTTGATAATCGATTTTAAAATAAAGCATAAATATGGAATTGTAACACTGATGATGTAATAAAATATCAAATATATTTTGTAATATTTTTCTAAAACAATTTGATATCTGCTTAAATCTCAAACCGTTCGTCCGTAAAGTTTGCTTAATATCGTTTGCAATATTTCAACTCTGTATAATAAAACATATACATACCACTTTCTCATATTCAGTTTTTGCTGTGGTTATCTGTTCTTGCAATCTTTCGTTTCTCTCTCGTTCAAATTCCAAATCCCTTTTAATTTTGTTCATTTCATCCCTTAATTTCAAGTTCAGCTGGCGCTCAATCTCCATATCGGCATGTGCAAGTTCTACAATGTTGTTGTTCGCAGAACGTTGCACTGGATGCATTGTCTGTCATTAAAGTGAAAACGTTTTACACTTTATTTCTCAATACAACATTTACCTGATGCAAAATTAGATCATTTTTAATAATGACATTGTTTTATTCATAAAGCGACAAAGCAAAGTTTAACTGTTCAGTTTAAATATTTTGTTTTGTTTCTGCAATGAATGAAAGCCTTTAAGTCAACAAACCGACCCCCCCCCCCCCGATAAGAGGCTTCTTAGCCTCCAAAGATCGACCTGATTTCTCTCCCCCACCACGCCCCTACCCAGGGTATGGTTAGGGGTTAAGTCCTCCTAACCTAACCTAACCCCCCTAAACATATATATTTTGAAAATGATCAACTGTTATACAATTTATCACTGAATAATGCAACAATTGAATAATTAATTGAACAATTAATAAAAATAATAGAAAATAATTGGAAAGAAAAATATTGGAATATCTGAAGATGACGACCATGAGTTCTGTAATATATGAAATATTAAATGTCCTTTAAGGTATTTACGACATTGTCCAATATATCCAGTTTCCTCATTTTCACCTTGTCCTGTTCTACGTGTGTTTTTCTTTTCTCACCCTGTAAATATATAAACAAAAACAAATTCGTTTAAGTCATTTGATGATGTTAACGCAACACTTTTGTTTAAATAGCTTTCATTTTAGTGCATTTCAAAAGAGTAATAATTGTGAGACTATTACATGTCTGTCACCATTGTCATACATTCACGGTGAAGATTACAGTTATAAAATTATGAACTGTAAGAAAAACATTAGCAGTTTCTTATTTGCCATTTCTGTTAAATGTAACCTTAGATATATGAATTATATATCACACGGCGATTTATAAGAATCAATCAGGTTACATTTAATGCCCCAAGCGTGCTTGCTTCTGCTGCATTTATAATGTTACACTGTATCCCTGATTCCTGAAATAATACGTGGGAATTAAAACTTCTGTCTATTGACATACATTTTTAAAACATTAACCATTTTTATTTGTCGAATCCTATTAAATTTATCCTTTCATATACGGGTTAAATATAGCATGGTATTTACGTCTGATAAAGATGCATAAAATTAGCTTGAAGATAAATTGAAATACAACTATTGATTTATATTAATTGATGATTGATCGATTGATAACAGGTAATCTTATGCAAAAGAACTAAATAGAAATAAGATAAAACGCAATCATTAATTAAACAATTTATTTATCTACACTTACATTACTTGTTTTTTGATAGCATTTTTGAAGGTTCTCTTTGGCGCTGTCTTTTTTCCAATGTGTTTGATGTCTGGCGCTTTGGTGTCTGACTTTGGATTCTAAAATAAACGAGCAATTTTTAACTGTCGATTAACATAGTTATCACAAGTTGATATTACATTAATTTTACAACGAAATAAAGAGATAGAAATTATTTATTGATTTAAATCCTGAGTTGGTTGATAAGTAGCGGCGAACAAGTTCCAGAGAAAGGCTCTACTGTCAATGCTAAAAAAGAAAGGGAGTTGTAAGTAGAACGTACTTATCTCATGAAATAAGGGGTATCAACTAACTGGATGTGATAGGTTTTATGTGTAGCCTTAAGGAAAAACTAGAATGGTATAGGCTGTGTAATGCAATGCAAATTGGGGTGATCAATTTTAATTTTGAAGGGTGGCTTAAAGATTCACTGACGTGTCTAATTTCTATGATTTCTATGATGATGTTAAACTGATTACTTTTTGGGAGATTGGGTCAGATGACTGTAGGGTTTGTGAAGTTAATTGAAGTTTTATGCAGACGGGAAAATGGAAAAAATGGTGACGTACCGGCAGTCTTCACAGTACAGTGCCTGGTAATTGGTACCAGGGTGTACTGCTAAGAGTACCGCCGTCTGTGTTTGTCCAGGGGTTGGGGCCGTGTTGGTTATAACCCGTTCACGAATGGTGGGGTTTGTGCACAGAGTGCACATTGCATTCACTCTTGTCCCTGGGGTCCCGAAGGGGATGGAGATGGTGGGGGTGCTATCCCACGCCCCATCGATGGGTATGGGGTTTGTGGCCTCCAGGGACGAGTCCAGATCTTTCATCAGTTCGTCCAATGGGTCGAGTGAGGACTGAACTGACCCCAGCTCAAGTAGTTGCATCGCCGCTTCTTGGTCGTTCTGCTGGGATAGCTGGGTTAGATTATCCCCTATCGCCTCTTGGTGAAGGATAGGAGGGTCAGCTGAGGTTGTGGCCGACTGAGCTGCCCTCTGGTGAATTGTCGTGAAGGCCTCCAGTATGGGAGGGTCATCTGATGCTGACGGTGCTGGCCACAGCTGGGGCAACTCAGCTTGTGATGTTTGACTTCTATCTTGGGACTGTAGCTGGGCGAGCTCGTCCCAGACCTCCTCAGGCAAAGCTGCATTGAGAATTGTGCACTGTAAAGAGAATAAACCATGTGAACGACCTTGTTTTAGTTTGATATATATATATGTTCACTTGAAACGGGCATAAAATGTGTTCTTTCGGCATTATGTTGCGGATCAGAATTTGTCAGAACGCAGGTCTTTTCTATTTGCTTATATTGTGGTGTTTGTCCCCTAAATATATGTAAATGTCTACTTTACAATTATAAGTGAGGTACGTATAAGTGGTGTCCATCAATCTTGATAATAATTCTGAATATTGGTTTTTGTTTCAGGACCTGGTTGAGACTGGATATCGTAGTGAGTTGGACTCGAATTGAAGTAGGAAGTTGGATTGCAAGATTTGGATCAAGAGTTTGAATAGTCATGTCCGCCCAATCTATATCAAGGTGGGGCCAGAGTACATGTGTACTTACACTACAATCTACGGGTCCTCCAGTAGAGCTTTTGATGTTACTTACGTAATCCAGTGGAATGTTGGTCACTGATACGATACAATAGTTGGTGGGGCACATCATCAATAATTTCAGCTCACATGAGGCGATATTCCTGAGGCAGAAGTATCTACGGAAGGCCCTTATGATACCAGTCAGCTTTTTGAAGAGTTTGTATGTTATATACAAGGATAGTATAAAGCTTAAAATAGACAGAATATTAGAAGGGAAGGCCGCTTGCTGTGGGAGGGGAACTGTTGGTGCGAATACCGGGTGATCCGTGGGTAGGAACAATGTGGCCGACTTGGCTGGTTGCGGTATGAGTGCGACACAACATACTATCCAACAGAATAGATAAGACGACATTACAAACGATACTAGAGCCAAGATGGCCGAGATCAGGGTAATGGATGATAGTGATTTGTCTGATAGCCAACTTAGTGGTTCCCTTAATTCTGATAAGTCCGTTTGTACATGTTGTATTTGATCGATAGGTGACAAAAATGGTACATCCGTATTTTTAAGGGCTTCGGTTAGTCGTGACATTTTAAATGAAGTTGTTTTGGAAGTCATTAAGACCTTATTCCAGTCCGCAGTGTAGAAAGTAAGATTGGGTAGTTGTACTGATAGATCTGAAGTCAAGTGGGATGATGCTGACAGTTTCTTTAAAGAAGTTAAATTGTAGTCGAAAGTTTGTAGAAAAGCTAAATTGAAGTGGTGTGCCCTTGAAACGAATGACTTCGAGGTGTGATTGCAGCTTGAGAGGGTTTTGGGTAAGATGAAATTTTGACCTTCCAAGGAGCATTGGCATTTCCTGGTTATAATACAGACCCCCCTGCACGCTGGAACCCTTTTTGGCATTGAATCATCACATCTAATGGTCCAGAATTTATCATTAGAATGTATAAGCGATTTAGTTGGCGTTAGCGTGATTATTTGATCTGATTGTGGGGCGTTAACATGGTACATAAACGAGCATAGTTTATTTATTTGAATGGGATCATTAAAGAATAGTGCTGAGTTACACGAGGGCTGGGTAGAAATTTGTTTTAGATTGAAGACAGTTGTACAATGTAGTAGGTGAGATCCGGTGCAGTCAGAAAATTGTTGCAAATTTAGTTCTATGTAGAAATCTAAATCATGAGATATGGCGAAATAAGGGGAAAGGTCTGAAATTGACGTAGAGTGGTTTGGGGTCCGTTTATTACTTAAATTGAGCGGAATTGGCATATGTATGTGGTGCATCTGATATAGATTGAAGAGATAATCGGAGCTTCAAATGGCGACTCTAATTGAAATTGTTATTGTATTCTCGGTGACCAGAAAGGTGGGGTTACTATTTTTGTAGTAATAATGGGGATCCAAGTAAGATATTCGAAAATTTGGATGTGAGGAGCGAAGGGTAGATTGGATATCTGACAGGGCCAATTTCAGTGTTGAGGGAGAAATTAAATGGGGTGGCAGATTACCTTGCACTAATTGGGATATTGCACTTAGATGCTGATTACATTCAATTTCGTGTTGCTGGAGGGCTGAAAGTTGAAGCACACAAAATCTAAGAATCATTTTTAGTAATTCAGAGTTTATTTGTAAGGCCAATGAGAGTTTATCATAGTAGCGGCCCTGCGAGGCTAGAACCGAAGTTAAATTTGCTATGGTATTATAAATGTTTTGAAATGCTGCGTGGTTATTGGCAGTGGCATGGTCCAAGTTATCTAGTCGCTTATTATTGGTGATCATGTATGAGGAGAGGTGTTGTCTGTATTGTACCGTGTTTTCAGAAGTAGAGTTAATGACCTTTTCAATTTCTTGGAGATGTCTCCAAACATTTGATATTTCTTTGCGTGAAGGTGTTCCAATTAGCGCTGAAAGTATTTCACTGCCAAAGTTTAATAATCCTCGACGATGTCGTCGATTAGTGTTAAGAGTGACTTTGTGAGTTTTTGGGAGTAGATTATCGATATCCAAAGTACAGGAATGAATTTTGTCCGCCGTATGTTGGATGAGCGGTGCATAATCAGTTAAAAGGGATGCTATTTGTTCGCAGTCATTATAGAATTCTTTGTGAAAAAGAGTATTGCATCTGACTTTAGGAGTTCTTTGTAATATATTTGGAAGCGAAAATCTTTTGAGCCCGAAACTATGTTGCCAATAATCGTCGTTTGATGGTGTCATAAGTCCTTGCCGCTTAATTATAACTCCAAAATTCAATCTATTTAAAAGACTGGTAGGCAAAGAAGTGTCTTGGCTAATTTGCATAGAGGGGGGTAGGTCTAGGCAATGAGTACTTGTAGTAGTAAGTAAAATTAAACAGAGACTTACCAATTTATCCATTGCTGTGTCCATGGTGAGTGATGCGTCTTGATGTTGATTCAAAGAAGTAATGTGGTAGTGGCTTAGATGCGTCTTGATGGTGATCCTGAGAAGCAATGTTGAAGTGGTTTGGGTTGGGCAATAAATATATGAGTCTTGCATGAACTGTGGTCACGTGATGCTGGCGTTGCGTCATGAGGTTAGATTTTAGGTTTTTCGTTTATTATAGAATTTCTTCTTTTTGACTTTTGTGGTCCTGGGGTTTTCAATATCGTGTAGGCTGCTCAATTGTGTGTGTGTGTGTAATGAATGTTTGTATTTTATTCATTAAATAATTGACACAATGGTTCGATAGGGACGCATTTTTCGCGCAGGTTTTTAGCTTGGGCAATAAAGTAGATTTTAAATATGGAGCCCTGTATATCTAATGGCCGGTCTCATTTGTTTGCTGTTTTGTTTTAACCCTGTTTCTCTTAGGATGCTTGGGTTTAAATAATTGTTTATTATAATTCTCCGCGCGGAGAGTGAATCTGTCCTTTTGAAGGAAAGTAGATAATTATATGAAACATCCATATGATATGAAGGTGGCCACCTATTACATTTTATATGCGCATTATTCACTTTTTTGACCCGCAAATAGGGATATGTCAATGGTATATCGTTTATTAAAATTCTAAATATATCCGGATATAAAGAGGTTCTTCTCCTTATCATTTACTCATTCTATTTCCTTTCTTTCTTTTTTCTTTTTGTTTTCATTTTGTTTTGCTTTATGCCAATATTGAATTATTTTTGAGGGACAGTTGAGCAGCCGTTTGACTAGAAATAGTTTGAACTAGGGAATAGAAACTTATCGTCGCATGTGGATTTTTGAGTGTTGAACATGAGAAATAACCTAAAAATCCGCGAATTCCAATCGTTGTTGGAGGGGTATTGGAAGGGGTGAATTACTGAAATCAGGGAATGTCACTTGGTTTTGAATTGTTACGGGACATTTTGACTGAAGCGTGGAAGGTACTTCTCTAAATTCAAAGAAATCTGTTATATCTTTACATTCTTTTTGTAGCCTTTCAATCATGCCCAGATTATATCTGACAAACCCATTATCAGTGTAGGATTTGTATCTGGTCCGAAAAAGGTGAAATTCGCTTAATCTTATGTGATCTGGGACTATGATGGTAGCTTCCGCCAATTTCTCTTTGCATATATGTTTATAGGTATCAGCGAGAAGGTTTGATCTTTTAATGAAATTATATTGTAAACCTGTCAAAGGTATAGAACCCTGGTTTCCAAAGATGAGAGTGATTCTAGGCATGATACAAATCGCTTATTATGAAGAATTTATTTTTGCTAATCAATTGTATTCTAGAGGTTTAATAATAAAACTTGAAATATAGATTGCCCTCTTCAAGTATTCCTATAGATTAAATAATTTGGTATTAAATATGGATTTAACAAGCCGCTGTTGAGTGTGAATTATCTGAATTGCGGGGGGGGGTCTCCCAGGGGCAAGACCTACTTTGATCCCCAAATGATTGAGCATCATTCAAATTCTCTAAAGACAATGTCTCGCTCGAACACGAGTTTGAGTCTTGTACATCCAGATCATCATATGAGTGTAACCCAGAAATAGCATACATATGTTGAGGGTTTTGAAAATCAGCTCCTGCATGGACCTCGGTATCTGCAGGAGTTATTAGTTTAAATGATTCGGTCTGCTAGGCCCTGAAGATGGTGGAAATCGGGGAGCGGGGTATCTATCATTTCGACGATCTTGTGGGAAGGATCTCAGATTATTTTGATTTTGAGAGGTATTTTGACCTTGAAAGTGGACCCGTCTATTATCTTGATACCATGGGCGATCTGATTGCATTTGGCGACCTCTGAAGGAGTTATTGCTTTTGAATGGTTTAGGAGAAAATCGTCGACCTCGACCATTGGGATTAGGATCAAATGTTGGCCTTCGACATTCTACGTTAAGATGACCTACCTGATGACAATTTGTGCAATAGGGTCTACCTGTACTCGCGGCCATTGTACAGGTCTCGTGGAGATCTCCTTTCGTTCCTCCTTATCCTGTCGGACATTTCCTCTAACATTCCACGTTGTTCTTCTGTACAGGGATCTAATCTGTACTTGTTTGTTAATTTTATTTGAATTTTGAAAATTGAAAGTCTTTGTTAATTTTGTATTTCTCAATTTCATTTGTTGTGGAATATAAAAAAATATTAAACCTTAGGTTTCGGCTGGCAACGGCACCAATGTTGTAATCACTTTTTAGTGATTACAATCTTGTTTCCTACTCGAAATACTTATCAACCAACTCAGGATTTAAATCAATAAATAATTTCTATCTCTTTATTTCGTTGTAAAATTAATGTAATATCAATATACAGATTAGATACCTGTACTGCCTGGCTACCTCGAGAACTCTCTAGAGACCAGCTCCCGTTCCTTATATATATTTTGTTGTAAATGGCCAGTGCCTTATGAATGTTTAAGATGTTAGGTCAACGGTAAGTAAAATGAATATTCAATGTCATAGTGCATAAGAAAGGTCATAGGTTCAGGCAGTACAGGGTTAATAATTAATTATGTATGTAAATAACTGTTATGTTTTTTTATGATTGTGTCTTGTCCCTTGAGTCATAACAATATGTTATTTACATTTGCACTAGCCATTAACAAGTGATGTTAAAAATACATTTTAATTAATTAATTAATTTTTAAAAATAATTTATTCAAACTTACATTAGTTGCTTCCTGGTCAGGTCGCGTTGTCGTTGCGGCCTGCTTCTGTGCCATATCACTAATTTGGTTAACTTGTGTAACGCTCCTGAAGATTGATGTTTGGCCAGTGAAGTCTGAAATAAACAAGCACATTTTTCATAGCATGCATTTAGATCAATATTATAGATGGAGAGTGTGTCCTGCTTGTAGCATCTTTGGTTGCAGGTGGCACATCTTTACTCGCACCTTTGTTATTTGTCGCAACCTGGCAACTCACAGTTAATTTTTATCATAGGTTTATAAAAGTGGTTAAAATTGACATAATACAACAATAACTTACATCAGTTTTCGCGAAGTTTAACCGTTTCTGTGTCTTTTCTTCTGTCTCCGACGCTTTCTTTGAATTCTGTTGGTGCTGAAATAAATGAATAAATAAAAGAAATAAATAGATAAATTAAATAATTAATTATCAAAAAATAATATTAAACAAAATTAATATGAGTAATGGTGGCAAATGTTAATTTTGAGACATTAAAAGCGAACTATTTTAATTTTGAGACATAAATGTGAGAAAAAGTAAAAAATGATGATAGAAAAATATAACTTACCGTTTTGGCGAAAGGGTTCTCTTCGTCGTCCAAATCCTCATTAGTGTCATCGAAAGATAACCAGAAATCACCAAGTTCTTTGAGTGGCGGACTTTTGACATCCGCCACTCGAGCCTCCAAAATCTTCGTCCAATGGTCATAGATGAAACAAACAAATTCAGGCTTTGGTGTGACCATCATGTCTGCCCCCTTCTGTAATTTTACGCCATATGCAGACGCTTTGCATGTTAGCACAAGCCCTAATCTGAATTGCGCTTCTTTCTGGTATAACTGTTTGACGACATCACTTTTACAATGGTCCACTGCCATTGCTCGACCATTGGGATTAGGATCAAATGTTGGCCTTCGACATACTACGTTAAGATGACCTACCTGATGACAATTTGTGCAATAGGGTCTACCTGTACTCGTGCGGCCATTGTACAGGTCTCGTGGAGATCTCCTTTCGTGCCTCCTTATCCTGTCGGACATTTCCTCTAACATTCCACGTTGTTCTTCTGTACAGGGATCTAATCTGTACTTGTTTGTTAATTTTATTTGAATTTTGAAAATTGAAAGTCTTTGTTAATTTTGTATTTCTCAATTTCATTTGTTGTGGAATATAAAAAAATATTAAACCTTAGGTTTCGGCTGGCAACGGCACCAATGTTGTAATCACTTTTTAGTGATTACAATCTTGTTTCCTACTCGAAATACTTATCAACCAACTCAGGATTTAAATCAATAAATAATTTCTATCTCTTTATTTCGTTCTAAAATTAATGTAATATCAATATACAGATTAGATCCCTGTACTGCCTGGCTACCTCGAGAACTCTCTAGAGACCAGCTCCCGTTCCTTATATATATTTTGTTGTAAATGGCCAGTGCCTTATGAATGTTTAAGATGTTAGGTCAACGGTAAGTAAAATGAATATTCAATGTCATAGTGCATAAGAAAGGTCATAGGTTCAGGCAGTACAGGGTTAATAATTAATTATGTATGTAAATAACTGTTATGTTTTTTTATGATTGTGTCTTGTCCCTTGAGTCATAACAATATGTTATTTACATTTGCACTAGCCATTAACAAGTGATGTTAAAAATACATTTTAATTAATTAATTAATCTTTAAAAATCATTTATTCAAACCTGGCAACTCACAGTTAATTTTTATTATAGGTTTATAAAAGTGGTTAAAATTGACATAATACAACAATAACTTACATCAGTTTTCGCAAAGTTTAACCGTTTCTGTGTCTTTTCTTCTGTCTCCGACGCTTTCTTTGAATTATGTTGGTGCTGAAATAAATGAATAAATAAAAGAAATAAATAGATAAATTAAATAATTAATTATCAAAAAATAATATTGTAGCGGGAGCGCATTTTTCTTATTTATTTTCAAGTTTTATTTTCATTCTTTTCTGATCAAGATCAAATTATGTTTTATATATGGTTAAAAAGAACAGTCTTTTGCCAGCATTGTAGTTTTTATTTCATGCAAAAAGGAATAATGGTTTTTGAGTAAGACAAGTTTAAATAACGAGTGTAAACGTGTGATTTTATTTAATTCCAGGCCGCCGGGCACACATGATTTCAGTTCTTATTTACTCATGTTCTTTCTCATTAAATTTAGAGAAGAGTGTTTTCCATAAATTATAATAATTATTTCTTAAATTAAGGGTGAATTGAGCTTTTAAACGGTGTATTAAACTTTGAATTTGATCTCATACTTTAGGAGATATTGTTATTTAAAAAGAGTGATTTTCAGTCAAGTTTCATATGTCTGACGGCATTCGGCCCGACACTTTTTCAAACTTTCTCGCGTAGTAAATTGATTGACAGCTCGCTGTTGGTTTATTAGTCTTTGATGTGACAGCTATTTTGACATTGTAGCAAGCTTACAAACCTGTTGTCATAGTTGCATTTCCTTATATGGAAATTGATTATCAAAAATATAAAGGTTCTCACAATCGTTCGGGGAACGTTCAGTCTAGTTTTGAATCGTTGAAGAGTAAGGAGCTGCGATCGCATTTTGGAATTATAACAAAATTGTATCATTTGGATTTATAACAGATTCGTAACAGATTGTGGATTTATATTGCTGTATTAAGTAACGTCAGATATTTGTGCTATTGATGGTGTTATATTGTGGATTTATAACGAACTTGAACTGGATATATTTTGTGTTACACGGAGATGCGTTGTCATACTGAAAGTCGTTCAGTGCTGTTGTGAACATGTATTCTGCATACGGTAATTATAATAAAGTCTTGTTATTTGTTCTTTAAATTCACTATGTCTGTTAGATCTGTAAAGTGAAGTCAGAGTGAGAGAATCTAGTTTACATAACCGTTTTAATTCCACTTTGCAATCCAAGGGAAATAAGTTCAAATTCATATCCTTTCCTTCATTCAATCTTTTACATTCCATTCTTTGTGAAACGTTCCACCTGCCATTCGTTATTTCTAATCCTTTATTCCCCGTAGTTCTATCACTTTAACAGTTTACACATTCATTATTTTCTTATCTTTTATTCTCAGTATTTCTGTCAACTTGTCAATTATTTCAATTTCATTCACAACCATAAAGATTGGCCATATCTGTAACAAATTGCTCTTACCAAATCTGCTCCTTACGTTTTGCTCCGGAGCCGATTTCACTTGTGTGGAGCAAAGAGTTTATTCCAAAGAGGCAAGGTAGTGTAAGACTATTGCTATGTGACTTAATTGGTATAACCAATGTAGTAGTAATTCATATGCAATAGGTACTAAATTGCTCTCAAAGCTCCTGTTTTGCTTACAAGCTTGTTTAGCTACTGATTTGGGAGCATTGCACTTTGCTCTGGAGCCCGTTGAGTTGCTCCCACTTGTTCAGCTATTTATTCGGAGTCTTGCATTTTCCTCCGGAGCCTATTGAAACTTTATGCTTTGTTTAGAGACTCACTGATTATTGAGAGCATTACATTTTGCTCCGGAGCCCATTGGGTTGCTCCTGCTTTATATTGAGTCGTTCATAAGGAGCATTTTGACGGCTCCGTTTTGTGTATGAAGTTTTGCTAAGCTATTTGTGTATTGTATTTTCCTCCCGAGCCGAAATTGATTGGAGCCAAATGTACCGATTGCTCAGTTAATTTTGCTCATGAGCCATCACCAAAGGAGCTAGAGTGTATAATAGATATTGGTCAGAATCTTTATCAGAATTAATTCCATTTACACATTCCGCTAAATTGACTCATTCATCTCACATTTATTAAAGTTATTCATTGTGTATTTCCCTTGTCATTCTGTTATTTTATGCATGTTATATCAGTGGCATAACGATATAATAAAAATCAACACAACAAAATCCTTTCACCAACAGACATTCCCCGCCGGCTCTCATACCACGTGAGAGTTTTTAGTGACAACGGGTTTCCGCTCGGCCCAGACGCCGCGTTCCGTCACAATATTAAACAAAATTAATATGAGTAATGGTGGCAAATGTTAATTTTGAGACATTAAAAGCGAACTATTTTAATTTTGAGACATAAATGTGAGAAAAAGTAAAAAAAATGATGATAGAAAAATATAACTTACTATGCACACAAAAATGGCACTCTACACAGAAACTTTGGGCTCTGTCAGTGTGACGTTGGTAAAGTTATCACGCTGACCAAGCTATTTCGTAAAATTTACTAAATCAAAGATGGCATCAAGTATTGCATCAACATGAGTTGGGCACAGGCAATGGCAGTGGACCATTGTAAAAATGATGTCGTCAAACAGTTATACCAGAAAGAAGCGCAATTCAGATTAGGGCTTGTGCTAACATGCAAAGCGTCTGCATATGGCGTAAAATTACAGAAGGGGGCAGACATGATGGTCACACCAAAACCTGAATTTGTTTGTTTCGTCTATGACCATTGGACAAAGATTTTGGAGGCTCGAGTGGCGGATGTCAAAAGTCCGCCACTCAAAGAACTTGGTGATTTCTGGTTATCTTTCGATGACACTGATGAGGATTTGGACGACGAAGAGAACCCCTTCGCCAAAACGGTAAGTTATATTTTTCTATTACTTTTGTTATGATTACTTATGATAATAAATAGTAATTAAAATGATCTCATTTCTTGGATTGGTTATGTTGTTCTTGAAATATTTCTAATTGCTTCATGGGCTGATAAGTAATGTAGCTCACTGACTCGTGGGAAAGGTTAAAGATCGTGAACAAACAGTTACTTCGGGCATAGTGCATTTATGGCAATAACTAAGGATACAGAATTAATAGATGAATAATACTAGTGATAAGTTGAAAGTGGAGTGCATCAATTTAATTTCATTTAATAGCTGAAATAATACTGAATAAGACAAGGTAATAGGATAACAATCTATTAACCTTGATGGTTAATCATTAATAGATATGGAGTTCTAATTAACACTTCTTAACTCTTTACTATAAACACAACAGACATAGTATGTTCTATTTACAAATCAAAGTTTTATTCGTTTCATTTAAATATATATTAATATCAGAATGTACATAATTTCAGTCTCACCACTCTTGTATCCTATTCTCGCTTAGTTGCTTCTTTGATTAAAATTTAGATTGAATAGTTTAGTTATAAAATACTTTACAGTTTGCTTACTTTGAGCCTAAATAATTTAATTGCAATTTCGATCCTCCTCCATCCGAATATCAAAATGTGTTCCCCCAATTACTAATTGTTTCCCTTTTTATATTAATTTCTTTAACTATTGCAATACATCGTGAAATGTTGAACCATCAGTCTGAAATCTTGGAATTCCCAATATGTAATTGTACTATTTCCTGCCATTTCATAATATCCGGCTGGAATCATTTCTATTTATAAATATTACACCATTGCGTTTGGTTTAAAGGTTATCAAACAATACAGTATTTCGTAATTAATTTTCAATTAACTTCTCAATAAATTTCATCTAAATCACCACATATACTGTCCCAGGATTTAAAAGGAACAAATCTTTGGGTTTTATATAACAAACACAAATGTATGTTTTGAAGTACCATCATAAAACCTATTAGAAACTGCACTTATAAACCTAGCATCTCAAAGCCTGGTTAAAGTAGACTGTAAGTTGAAATTGAGCAAACCCGTAAACTTAAATTCCCCAACTGGATTATAATTGTCCCACAATATCGCTGTGTGAAAACAACACTCTAGGACAGTATGGAGGATCCCAAGTCCACAAGTTTGAATTAAGATCGGTTCAACGGCCCATAAGCCCCAAATGAGGTTATATGTGTTTTACCGAGTTGCCTGGTAAACTATTATACAACTCGGCAAAATAGAACCTACAGTTTATTTGTTTATGAGTTGTATCTTTCCATGGTTATTAGGTACCTATAGATACACAGTGAGTTGTTCAGGTCGTTACATCAAAGATATCGTTAAATGTATTAATATGTACAATATGGTGATTTGTCCTTGTGAGGATTTGATATGTTCATTCTCTAGATAATCAATGGATTACTATGATTACATGTGACATGGAATTGCAGAATTGGTACATCTCATAAAATACTTAAACTACTTCATATATACCAATATTACTCAAAGTGGAAAATTGCCACTGTTTAATATATTCAAAGTAACATTCCGAGCGGTAGCAAGAAGAGTACACCATTGGAAAATTACTGATTTCAGACTAAGGTAAGTTATAAATTGAAAAAGTGAATGTAAAAAATGTATAGCAGACATACTTAAAATAGGAATGTGAGTAGTAAGACTTTTTAAATATATGAGACACCAGTTAAAACCTTGTAAGCCAAATTACTGAACATCTTACAAGGGAAAAGGTATGTTCATATTTACAATTATAATATTTACATATACTTTTTAAATAACTTTAAAATGAGTGAATAATGTTTTTTTTCTTTTTTTCTCTTGTTGCGTCAATATAATTTCCACTTCGTCCGTTGTGTAAGCATCTGAAGGTCGCTTTGAAGAACTAAATTTTCAATTTTTAATGTCCAAGGCTTCTTTCTTCTTCAATAGTTTATCCTCTGTTATTCCAGTATCATACATCGTCTTCTTAGCTAGTAGTGAAGGTATGTTGGACTGTTAATTTTCTAAGCTAAAAGGGTGTCTTCATCAATGGGATCTTGGTTGTCACTGATTTGGTCAAGGAGTTTTACTATTTCTTTCTGAAGTTCATCCTCATGGGGAATGTCTAACATCTGTTCCATCTCCATCTCTTCAAGCTTTTGCTTGAACTCTTCGAATCTGAAATTCAAAGAATGTGATTTAAGAATATGTATTCATCATTTATATTGAGCCGGAATTTAGTTTCATAACTTTTATCTAGTACTCCCGGCAACTGAAATGCTAGATGGTGTGGTATTTGTATGGTCTCAGGAAGAGATAGTTTCAAATCATCGCTCATCTGAATTGTCAGTGTACCCCACTTAATTTCTATGTGGGGTCTCATGCATACATTAATTACGGTCACGTCTTCCAAATTCCCCGTACTGTGTTTAATTTGGTGAACTAAAACAAGAGGAATGTTCAGAATATCAATGTACATAAAGACATGAGAAGTCATGAAGCACATCTCTAATGTACAAGTGAACGTGTTCCTGTTGAAAATATATTTATTGCACACGTGTTAGCAAATTTGAACAAGTTTCCAGGACAGGAATATTCCAAAACCAACTGTAAGGAATATCAAAAGAGGTATAAAAGCCTGTTGTGGCGTGTGTTGAATCCCCTGTGACAGTGGAAATTTCGCTTCTACCGTGGCAACTGGTATGTGTGTCATGGCAGTTAAGAGCGTCATTATAGTTCTATATTTACATAATAAATAAATGCATGCAATGCCAGTGAATATGCTGCAAATAAAAGATATCAAATTAGAAATTTTAAACACCAAATGGTTTGCATTAATTTGGAACAACTCATTTTGGCCTTGAAATAGTTCATCGGTTGCTGATACAAATATTGGTTTATCATTTCGAA